GATCTGTGAAACCCTGGTGGATATAAGGTGCAGCAGTCTGTCACTGAAGGAGCTGTCCAGTTCAGCACCAGCTGAACCAGCATGGGGGGGGGACGTTATCCATCAGAGATGTTCATTTATTTAGGATCCGTCTGTTTCCACCTCCTGCACTGAGTCCAGAGGGCATCCAATCACAGCTGGCCTTCCTGATCAGCTGATCCAGACGCTTCCTCTCAGCTACAGATGAGCCACTGCTCCAACAGACGCTCCATAGAAGATGGCTGATGCTACAAATGAGTCAGAGAAGGTCTTTAGGAGCCCCCCCCCCCCTCTGTTTATCTCCAACAGTTTGCGACCGTGAAAAAGGTGTTGGATTATAATCCAAACTTGTTTCAAAGTCTGATTTAATCCTCCATCTCCTCATGTTGCCAGAACAGTGATGACAGACTTCAATTGCACTCTCGTCGCTCTTTATTGGAGTTGTGCTGATTTGGATGAGAATTGTTGTTTGAGCTTCTTATTGTGGTTTATCTTTTCTACAAAATACAGAAATGAATTAAATAACTGAAGAAACAATACAAGCATATCAAATCTACCTAGAATAGAAACGAACAAACAATGCTTACAGAATACAAATAAACTCGATAACCCTATAAATCCTATAAAAATAAGAGATAAAGAGAAAACAAAACTATTCCAGCCAACTCTCGCCAAATAGAGTAAATTCCAACAGCACTTAAACGCCTCATTGGATACAAGGATAAATAATAAATTTAAGCTTTCCAATGGTAAATAAATGCCTCATCTGCACAGCTTACGTAACATAAAGACAGCGACCAAATTAGAAACAAGTGAGCCTCTTTAGCAATAGATAACTAATGAAAATAATCATTAATTTAATGTTAGTTAATTTAATTAACAGGCCTGACAGCTTAGAACCAGGAACGCAGTAACTCACTATATTTCTTCAATTAAGCAGACAATAAAAAAGGAAAACTTAAAAAGATTTGAAAGTCCACACTTGATTGAACTGAGGAGAAAAAATGAACCCTGATTGGTTGTTACCTGGTAGCTAAACTATTATAGGATGATGATGCGTTCAAAGTGTTAAGAAACAAAAAACCCATCTATACCTAATTAACAGCAACCTGTTGCATGTGTGTCGTTCCATTATGGCCACAGTGCTGCTTCTGACCAGGTCTGAACCAATCAACAGCACATCTGGAAGCAAATTCACACAGCTCATAGGGGAACTGTCCGGCCTCTGATTTCCATGGTAACAGGAACAGTTTTTGTGAAAATGGAAGGTGGACAGTTCAAGGAAAAAAAAAATTCCTCCCTTTCTGGATCAACAGCTGAAGGAAAACCTGAAAGTTCCGGTTTCGTTCTCAGGGAAACACCTGCAGAGGTTCTGTGATGTTCCTCAGGTTTCACATGAGGAGCTGGTTCTGCAGAACCAGTCCTACCAGCTGGTTTCACTCAGCAGCTGAACCTCAGGGAGATCGACAGGAAATGTTTGAACCTCAGTAGGCCCACAGAAAAGCATGAGGTGGTGAAGGAGGAGATGTGCAGATGGTTCTGATCCGTTTAATGATCCTGTTCCTCCTCATCTTCAGGCACCAACCTCTGAGCGCAGCCATGAGCTCCCGGGTGTGCCGGACCTGCGGGGGGTCCGACATCGATGTCGACCAGGCCCGGGGAAGCGCGGTGTGCACGGGCTGCGGCTCGGTTCTGGAGGACAACATCATCGTGTCGGAGGTCCAGTTTGTGGAGGGAAGCGGAGGAGTTTCATCCGCCGTGGGACAGTTCGTCTCCGCAGACGGTTAGACNTCCAGACTAAGATCAGGACTTAGATCAGGACTAAGATCCAGACAGAATGCAGACTAAGATTGGGACTAAGATTCTGGATTAAGATCAGGACTAAGATTCTGGATTAAGATCAGGCCTAAGATTCTGGATTAAGATCAGGACTAAGTTCCAGACTAAGATCAGGACTTAGATCAGGACTAAAATCAGGAATTAGATCAGGACTAAGATCCAGACAGAATGCAGACTAAGATTGGGACTAAGATCCAGACAAAAATCAGGACTTAGATCAGGACTAAAATAAGGAATAAGATCAGGACTGTGATCCAGACTAAGATCAGGAATTAGATCAGGACTACGTTCCAGACTAAGATTGGGACTAAGATTCAGACTAGGATCAGGACTTAGATCAGGATTAAGATCCAGTCTAAGATCAGGAATAAGATTAGGAGTTAGATCAGGACTTGGATCAGGACTGAGATCAGAACTTAGATCCAAACTCAGATCCAGTCTAACCATTTGAATGGATGATCTGATTGAATTGTCTCTCTAAAGCGCCTTTATAGGACGTTTATTTTGACTTTGCGCTATAAAAAATAAACTGAGTTGAAAGGATGTTTTAGGTTCAGTCTGTGAGGCTGGTTCTGGTTTCAACTGGACCTGATCAGAACCTCCAAGGACAAAGACAGGGCGACATCAACAACACAGAAACTTTTAGCTTAGCTCTACCGGTCTGTCTGCTGATCAACCGCATCCATAAATAAACACTCATTATCATCCTCATCATCATTATCATCATCATCCTCATCATCATTATCATTATCATCATCTTCTCTGCATATCCGGTCAGCAGGGCCCCGCCCTCTTTGCTCATGACGTCGCTTGTTTTTGTTTACGTTTTCGGTATTTTGAATAACTAAACCGACTGTTTGTGTCAGAGGCGATCAGTTCGGGATGATTAGATGCAGAATAATGAGGAGGATGATCGATCAGCAGCTGAGGAGGCGCTGCAGCCGATCAGCCTGTCAACAGCCTGACAGGAGGGACAGACAGGCAGCGGGACAGACAGACAGAGGGACAGACAGGCAGAGGGACAGACAGACAGAGGGACAGACAGGCAGCGGGACAGACAGGCAGAGGGACAGACAGGCAGCGGGACAGACAGGCAGAGGGACAGACAGGCAGAGGGACAGACAGACAGTCAGACAGAGGGACAGACACTCACCTGCAGCTGGCGGCGCTTCTGCTCTCTGTTCTTTCTGCTCTGAAAATTCACGCGCTGCACATCACCTACAACTTTGCGTCACAACGACGGTACCGGAAGTCACCGGGGCGCGTCCAAGTTTTTGCCTTCAAAATAAAGCAAAAAGCCTTTTCGGATAAACTAGAACATTCTGGCTGCAGCGGTGCGCTAAAACCTGTCCAATCCTCAATAAAAGTCACGTAGAGTCATTCTGTGGGGGAATTTAATTGAAATTATTTAATATCCAACTAAAAGCTGCAATAAACTGTATGATGTTATATTTTTATGAATCAATATTTTTAGCCATTTAGTTATTAAGGGCCACAATTTGGAAGGACCAAAGACTTATTATAAATAACCACTAACCACTATGCAGGGCACTATATAGGGGTTAACCACTAGTGCCCTATATAGTGATTAAACCCTATATAGTGCCCCATATAGTGGTTAGTGTTTAACCCCTATATAGTGCCCTATATAGTGGTTAATCACTATATAGTGCCCTATATAGTGATTAAACCCTATATAGTGCCCCATATAGTGGTTAGTGTTTAACCTCTATATAGTGCCCTATATAAGGGTTAACCCCTATATAGTGCCCTATATAGGGGTTAACCACTATATAGTGCCCTGCATAGTGGTTACTGGTTATTCACTATATAGTGGGTAGGGCGGACATTCGGACACAGTCAGTATTCTTTCAATGTAGACTTAAATCACCTCCTAAATCAACGGTTGCCCTCTAAAACAGAGCGTGGACGCAATGATGCTCTCAAATAGAATGTCGTAACTAATTTGACATGTTAGGTTCAAGCATATTAACCACAAACAAACAGCAAGAAATTTACTTTTCACATCAATATACAAACTTTATAGAATAAAATGACAGAATTTGTGCTTTTTGGAATGATTTTTTTTGTGTTTAAATAGGGAAGAGGAGAACCTTTTGTGTGTCTGTTTTCAAGGGTTCCCAAAGCGGGGGTTGGGACCCCACATGGGATCAGGAGACGGTTTCTGCAAACATTGTGATGTAATCCCTGAAATATACCGAGGACCAAAGTATAACGCAAAACACATAAATGTCCCATAAAATAAACAATATATTTATTTATCTAATAGGCCTACGTGATAAAATGTTGAATATACCATCGCATAGAAAAATGCACAATTAAGTGAACAGCCTGTTAAATAATTAAACATACAATTCAAATTTTGAATTAAATATTAAAGTTGTACAAAATATTTTAAAATGAATATGATTACTGCTCTTTACAGATACAGAGTGATATAGTTATCTGTATGATTGTATGTACTTTTCACAGGCTGAAATATTTCAGAACCCCTCAGTGCCCATTGGCTCATGCCTGAAACCGTAAATCCGTTTGCTGACGTCATCAGATAAAGACCAGGGGCTCCAGCCGCTATGGACGTTTTCAAGCTTTTAATTTGAAATATAAAAAGACGTTTGCGTTAGATCATCGATAACTTTACTTTACCGACAGCGCGCAGGCGCAGTACTCATGTAACGGTCACCACAGACACAAGAGTAGACTCCGCATCGATCCATTTCTCCGATTGGCGCTGACGTCATTTGGTGGCGCCATGTTGGGTGGGTCAACACAGCTCCACTTACTGTAATGTGTTGAGGAGGGAAAGAATCAATCAATCGCTGAATATTAAACAAATTTTCTCGGTTTTGTTTTGATTTATTTGTATTTTTTGCTGTAAATAAACAATTGTTCGGTGTATTTAAATATTCTTTGTGGGTTTAAGAGTAATAGAATAATCTGATAGGAAGTATGCATGTTGCAAAGCACAGCCACTCAGACATTTTTATTAGTATACGCAGAAATATTTTATACAGATATACAAAAATATATATACGTATCTCTCTCTGTATTTACATATGTAAATACATCTATATATATATATATATAATAGAAAAAATTATAGAATAGTAATATATATATATATATAAAAAACTAAACTGAATAAACAGCACATATACACTATATATGTAGTGTATTTATGCTGTTTATTCAGTTATTTTTCCAAAGCTCTGATGCCATCAAAAAGTTCTCCCTCGAGCCTCGATGTCAACAATCCGTCGGTTCAAACAAAATCACACTGCTCAGTGCTGAGGCATCGATCTGTTCTGCCTAAACCAGCAGGTTGGGGTAGCCTGTTGACCTCCCCAAGATGGCGCCCGTGAGTTCTGCACCACAACAGTCCTATAAGCATGTCTATGGTCCCAGCTGCAGGGGGAGACAGATCGTGTGAGCTGTAGTGAGGCTGATTAAAGTGCTGTAGAACCTGGGTTCTGAAGAGGCTCCTATGTTTGATTAAACTGCAAATAATAAAAAATAAAAGATAAGCAGATTGTTAGAGGAAGCAAATAAGATGATGTGCTAATAGAATGAGGATGTTTACCCTTAAAATAAAATAATTTGATATTATACATGTGAAATAGGATGACAGGTTATTTTTTCCCCATCTTGAACAGATTTGATCTTTTTTATAGACAAACTGTCTCTCTGGCTCAGACTAATGACAGACTTACTCAGGTTTCAGTTTTTGCTATTTTTTCAAAAGCATCTTTAGAAAATGATCAGATATCCTTTTCATTAAATCCACCTTTCTCCATTAAAATGTTTCTGTTAGTTTGGTTTAAATCTCAGATATTGTTTTATTTTCATTACAGCAGAAAATCATCACAAAGGGCAGAGATGAAGGCGTGAAAGGATCAGTCTGGGATTTGATGAGCGACGGTTCTGAACACGTCACAGTTGGGAAGCAACAGCTCGCCCAGCAGCCGCCTCTGGGACCAGAACCAGTGAGGAGGAATCCTATTGGATCACTAATCGACAGTGGTTCTGATCCTCTGATGGCACAGGACCAACGATTTCTTCTTTAAACGGTTGCCTGGCAACAGTGGAACAATTTATAGGACCTGACCCTGAATCAAAGCCAGAGTTTTTCCAGGTTCTGGTGATCATTAGTCTGGACCCAGACGCCGTTTGTCTCAGGGATCTTCCTCCCAGCGGGTTTTCCCGCCGCGGTTCTGTGTCGGTACCAGGCTGTCTGAGGCAGCAGCGCTTAGCATCCGTTTGGACCGAACACCACTGATGGCTTCCAGATGATGATTTCTGTCCAGGTCCAAACAGACTGCAGACCGATGGAGTGGCGCACAACTATGGAATGGGACAGAATCAAACCCAAGTGGGTCCGATCCAGAATAACACCTCTGAGATAAAAGCTGTGAAGAACCACACACAGTTAAAATGGCCGCCATCAGTGTCTGCTTTCTACAACCAAACCAGAACAGAACCTCAATTAGAGGGAGCCCAGCTTAAGCCAGAGTTTAATTCCGTAATCTGTTGGTCTAGATAAACTCAGAACCTCCTCCAGTCAGTCCGGGTCCAGAACTCCACGAAGCCCTTCCTTCCACACACCGATGTCCCGACTGTCTCGCGCCAGGTGAGGAGCAAACACCACGTCCAACCTGCGCAGGACACTGCTCTGGTCGCCACGGACAACTGTCCCTTGGAGACGCCGCATCATCAGTCGGACCAGGACCTGATTGGCCCAGGCCAAACCCAGAGCAGGAGACACCGAGGAGGACGGAGCGCTGAGGGAAGGAGACAAGACTGCATCAGTTACAGAGTTCATCGTTTCAGCCCTGATCGTTGATCCTGGATAAATACAAAACAAACTTTGAGGCGTTACCTCAGACCGCTCCCTGATTGGTTGAAAACATCTGTGACCTAAAAGAGACAAATTTAACAAATAAAATATAATGTAGGTTTGATTATTGTTCTGCTACATTCTGCTCTGTCTGTACAGGAGACAGTCTCACCAAAACAGGTGGGTGTCTGACCAAAGACGGGTGTGTGTCTGAGTGAAGACAGGTGTGTGTCTGAGCAAGGACATGTGGGTATCTGACCGAGGACAGGTGTGTCTGACTGAGGACAGGTGTGTGTCTGACCGAGGACAGGTGTGTGTCTGACCGAG